AGCATCTACAATGGGCTTTTTAAACATATTATTTGTGTCGGATTTTGGGCCATCTCCAAATTTTGGAGAGGAAGGGTTGTTGTAGTGGGAAACTTTAGGCCTCTCTATAGCTCCCCAAATTTTAAAAAATTCTAACTAGCTCCCCACAAATAGAAGTCACTTAACGAAGCATTGTGGGGTCATGTGATTTATTTATTATTTTCCTACATGTGATTTATTTATTATTTTCCTACGTTTTGCACTGTTACTTGGATTCCTTTTTTTTTTATATATAATTTATGAAATTATTTATAGCTATTATTTTGTAAATAAAAAATATGTATTACATCCATAAATTTCTTTTCTATTTTACTTTACTATAAAATAATTTTATGTTATTTGTATAATATTTATTTTATTAATTTATAATGCTTATATTTAAGGAGGTATTAAAAGAAATAATCAATAAAAATAAAGCAAAATAAATTAAAATCAAACATTAATAAATAAATACGATATCAAAAAAATAAAGCAAATACAACCCACAGAGAATAAGACAATTCATTAAAAAAAATTAAACATCTTCGTCTCCAAAGATATTCCATAAATGGTTCATAAGATCGGATCTCAAGACTTCATTAGTTCCTCGATTGCAAATTCAGTCAAGGCGTGCTGATATGTAAGACACTAAAATTGATGGATCTCGACCATATTGAGGAGGGGAAATATTTTCTTCTGGTAAAGGTTTCCATATTTCATATCCCATTCCACGTTCATCTTCTGTAATCATATTGTGAAGGATAAGACAAGTTTTCATTATTTTACATAGATCTTCTTTTGACCAATAGCGCACCGGTCCTTGTGTTATGCCCCATCTAATTTGTAAAACACCTGATATGCCTAATTGGCCCAACCCAATGGGCCTACAAATTATTTACCTACTGGGCCACGAGCCCAATATCGAAGACCACTATCACCGAGGCCCAATCACCTTCAAGTAAGGTTTGGGCCCGACAATCTCAACTAAGCTATAAATAAAGGTTTGAACTCAGTCCTTAAGGTACGTCCTATTAACTGAGCAATAATACAAGATGTATATTCTCTGGACTATTTCTATGATCAGCACGTCTAACTTGAGCGTCGGAGGGGTTTCCGTCGGATCAACCCCCATCCTAGTTCACGTGTTCTATGATTGCAGGTATCTCAAGGTCATCAATCTCGGGAGCCAGTGATCCACTCTGCTCTTCCAGCTCATCCTACTTCAACTCTGTAAGGTGATCTAACTTTAGCATTATCAACACCAAATGCATGTTCCACATCTTTTCGGACAACCTCTTGTTTTCTAGCAAATAATTTTTCTTTTATGGTGGTTGGATAGAATGAGAGTTGCATACTTGGGATAAATAACATCAGTTAAGTAATATCCCATTGTATAGGAATGATTATTCACTGTATAATTAATTGGAGGCACTCTGCCATGTATGAGTTTGTCAAATAATGGAGAATGATCTAAGACATTAATATCATTATTTAAACCAGCCATGCCAAAAAATGAATGCCAAATCCAAAGGTCTTGGGATGCAACGCTTCTAAAATTAAAGTTGGTTTATGATGGTGACCTCTATGTGTGCTGTGCCAAGCAGTTGGACAATTTTTCCACCCCCAATGCATACAATCTAAAGAAACGCGCAGTATCATGTTTATTTGGTGAGCGCATGTATTGTTCCTCGTACAGTTCAATTATTGATGACCAAAATTTATTTAAACTCGGTATTGCAGTCGTCGCCCCAATCTTTATATATTCATCACAGTGATCTGCATAAAATCCATAAGCAAGTATACGAAGTGCAGTAGTTATTTTTTGAATAGATGATGGGCCATGACGGCCACGGACATCTCTCTTTTGGGTGAAGTATGAGTTATGATTTTCAACATCATTTAAGATGCGAAAAAATAACTCTTTATGCATCCTAAAACGTCTGCGAAAAAAATCAGCAGGATAAGTACAATCATCAGAAAAATAATCATTCCATAATTGTTGGTGACTTTTTTCACGATAACGATCAATATATCGTCGTTGAGCTGGTTGTTCTGTATACGCTTGATACATTCCTGGAATAAAATTAAGCATGTTTTGAGTCTCTTTCCCCATGTAAATGGAAACAAGATCTTCTTCCTCGGAGGATACGGATGAAGAACTTGATGATTGAAAATATGTTAATTCATCTTGTGGAAACCATCCAGATGAAGAAGCCATAATCTAGATACAAATAATAGTAAGTGTATATGTTATGGAGTTGGTACATTTTTTTTGTGATCATAGTAGGAAACATATTTATAGAGGTACATGCAATAAACAAGATATGGGCTTAAAATAATCTGAGCACCCATTTCAAAGTTTTTGTTGGCATTTGATTTCCAGGCACGCATTTCAAACATCTCCATTATCTATTGAAATTCATAGCACACATTTCAAAAATTCAACCGTGGTGAAAGTGTTATTTATGCTATACAAGGCACATATTCAATATTGTTATGCTATAAATAGCCATCATCTGTTATGTTATCATTCACAATTTTAATTCACCAATAAATAGTAGTCTTACATATAAATTATATATGGATTAACGTATTCCTTTTAATCCTGATATCAATTCACAATATAGTTCTCAGCCACCACTATCACATGAGTCTCAAGCATTTTCACAACAATTTCCATATAACCAACAATTTGCTCATTCAGCGTTTAATTCACAATCTCAACAATTTCCAAAGTTTCCGTTCAATTCTTTTGTTTTTGCAGGTCCATCTCAAATTCAAACTCAGCAGGAAATGCATACTACTAACACATCAAGCACCAAGAGTACCCAAGGACGCAGGCACATGGAGCAGCAACCAAACTGGACTATGAAAGAAGATGAAGCATTATGTAAGGCCTGGTTACATATTTCAGAAGATGCAATAATCGGTACCGATCAACAATGAGGCAAGTTATGGGATCGAATTACATTGGAATTAAAAAAAAAATTTAGATGATGAATCTGACAGAAATTTCAACACGCTAATGCATCGATGGTCAATTATTCAACTAAGCATTACTAAATTTTCTGGTTTTGTTGATATGATAGAACGAAGTCATCCTAGTGGATTCAATGCAGAAGATAGTGTAAATGAATAAAAAAAAATCTTTATTTTATATTTCAGTCAAGGAGGATTTGGTATTGTTTACAAGGTATATATATATATATATATATATATATATATATATATATATATATATATATATATATATATTAACAAGTTGGGAGAAGGAGGATTTGGTATTAACATTTTAGTTTTATTTACACATGGCCGCAGTAAAACAACTATATTTCAAAAAAGAAAACCGAAATTTTAAGAGGGAGAATTGCTGGCTAATTTTGAAAAACACACATCTAAATGATACAATCATGTCAACGAGCAACGAGATAAGAAGAAAACAACTTCTCAAAAAAAGAGGAACGAAATTAATTTGGATGATGATGATGATGATCAAGTCGGAAATTCCTCCAATGCCCATACTCCGTCAACTGATCAATCCACCCCCACCACCACTCCAACATCAATTAGCTTGGATGATGAAGATGGAGAATCTAACGATGGTCCAAATGGACAAGCTCGTCCTTATGGTCGCAAAACTTCAAAAAGTGGCAGCAGGAAGAAAAATTCCACTCCCGGGCTTGACTTATTTGCAGAGGAGTTTTCTAATATGAGAAAAGATGCATCAAGTCGGTTTTGACGAAGAAGTCATTAGAAAAAATACAATAGAAATGAAAAAGTTATAAGCCAAAATGGAAGCAAAAAAAATGAGGCTACTAGCTCAAAAGGAAACTGAACAGATGAGAATTGCAGGAATGCAAGAACAAGAACGAAAACGATCTGAGAAAGAAATAATGATGATGGATCCCAGCTTTGCTCCTACAATTGAGAGTAAAAATTGGATTATTGAACAACAGGCTTGGATTATGGAAAAACATAGAGAAACAATAAATCGTGCACGAAAAAATAAGTCAGCATTTACAGATCCTAATAACTAGTTTATTGGCTTTCTCGTAAATCTTTATTTATGTTTTGTATGCCTATAGTTGGAGAAGTCTTCCAACAATTTTATCCGGACTCATTTATAATATTTTACGTTATTAATATTTATGTTAATTTATGTTATTTGTAAATATTGTAAATTTGTAAATACAATTTATATAACTATAGAAATAGACAAAAATAAATAATTCACAACTTAATTAAACATTATATATAATAAATTAAAATAATTTCATTCAAAAATTAATATTAATTGATGATAGTTATATATTTTACCAAATAAATATTAAAAAATTAAAAATATAATTTCATAATTATTATATTTATGAATATTTTATTAGAATTTAATATTTGGGGACATTTTACGGAGGAACAAAAACCAACCCATTGGAGTAGATTGAAATTTGGGGAGTGTTTAAGTGTGACCCATTGTATAAAGAGGTGTTTTAGGGATGAGCATTGTGGATGCTCTTACCCCAAAAAACCCAACTCCTCTTTTACCGTGTGGGCTCCACACATTTTCAATTTTTGCGTCAATATATTACTTGAAAAAATACAAAGTGGCCACAATCACCTTGACACATGGCAACTTCTTAAAAAGCGTGAGTTTGAATGACGTATTATTGTAGAAATAAAATAAGCCGAAAATGTATCATAGTTTTCAAAAAAATTGGCCGACATGTTTTAGATAAAAAGAAAAGGCCAATCGTCTATAACATGAATTTCATTTCATAGCACACTTCTGAACATCAACCACCATAAACAACATACAACGCAGCAATTAATTTAATATAATTTAATATTTTGTCAAATCTCAAGCCCAACCAATGCGTTAAAACCATTTTTTTCCAACAGAAAATGAATACAAGATCAGCTGTCCCAAACGAAATATAATAGTAGTTCATAATTTGAACATTATTTTAGTCAATGGAACATAAAAGAAATTAAGAAATCTATCTATACTACAATGTATATAATATATGTTCCTTTGTTGGCCCAAGATCACCTAGCTAGTTAAATATCAACGAAACATCATACAAGAGAAGAACCTTCTCAAATAGAATAGAAAAAGAAAAAAAACACATATACACATAAATATTGGAGAAAATAAGAAGACATAAAACAAATATTATTTAGTTCGAATACGAAACTACGTGAAAGTTCAAAAAAATAATAATTAGCGTGGGTATAAATCCGACTCACTCGAATATTGACCAAACTTAGCCTCTAAAGACCTAGTCAACTCCGACTCACTCGAATCGACCTTGTGGTGAAGCAGTGGTGTTTCTTGACCAGACCTACTAGACATGAAAAATGCAGGCTCCGACGGCATTTGCAATGTTATGGATAAGCTATGCAGCATCAAAACAATCGACGCCATTGTAGGTCTGTCGACTGCATTTTCTTGAACGCACAACAAGCCAATATGAATGCATCTCAACATATCCCTCACTGAACCCGAACCCGACCTCAAAACCGGATCTACCACGTTTATCGATCTTCCCTCGCGCCAATTTCTCCATACCTGATTTAGATATGAAGTAATTATTATTTTTTTAACTTACACCATTGAAATATGTTTTTTTTTGTTTTAACCAGCCCTCGTTAGCAGATTTGGTACCTGCATCTACTACTATTAGAGTAGAGGTCTAAGGTTTAAATCCTGCTTCATCCCAACTTCTCCAATTTGTAACAAAATTTTGAGTCAAAAAATAAATAAATTTTACTTACACAACTTAGCATATCCTCTACATTATTGTCCTCGTTCCGAAAAGCAGTATTTTTCTGCCCCGTAATAATCTCCAAGACTAGCACACCGAAGCTAAACACGTCAGATTTCACCGAGAACTGACCATGCATTGCATACTCTGGCGCCATGTATCCACTGCAATAGATAAGTTATATATTTAGATTCATATGTATATAATTAAGTAGAATTAGGGGCAAATATTGTTTCGTTATGTAGTTACTAGGTTCCGGCGATTCTGCTGGTATTGCCTTCACTTTCTTCTGGCCGAAACAATCTCGCCATACCAAAATCTGCTATTTTCGGATTCATATCTCCGTCTAGTAAGATATTGCTAGCTTTGAGATCACGATGTATAATACGAAAACGGGAATCCTCGTGGAGATAAAGAAGTCCTTTTGCGATGCCTCCTATGATCTTGTAACGTCTGTCCCAATCCATAGATGTACGTCTAGTCGGATCTACATGCCCGAAAGATTAATTTAAGTTATATAATCAGCAAATCGAAACTACAACAAGCAAGAGACAAAATAATAATAAATTACCAAATATGAAGAGGTCTAGGCTGGCATTCCGAACGAACTCATATACTAGAAGCCTCTCGGTTCCTTCGATAGAAAATCCCAATAGCCTAACCAAGTTTCTGTGCTGAAGTTTGGCAACCAACAACACTTCATTCTTGAATTCTACATCCCCTTGCCCTGAATTCCTCGACAACCTTTTCACTGCTATTTCTTGACCATTTTGAAGTTTTCCCTAATATATACATATGAATTAACCAAACTTGAATTTTACTTAATAATATATGAAAGTTGTTTGTTATATAGTGTATAATATAATGACCATATATATGTCCAATTATATGTATATACCTTGTAAACAATACCAAATCCTCCTTCTCCCAACTTGTTAGCATCAGAGAAATCATCAGTCGCAACTCTAATTCTGCCCAAATCATATTGCAGAGATTCGGCGGTGCTCATGTCATCGTCTTCCGCGTCGTTTAGTCGGGAAACTAACATAGCATTAAAAAAAATTAATAATAATAACACTGTAGTCAAATTCCTCTGCTAGTATAAATACAAGAGGATATTTATATACTTTAAAGGATAGAAATTTTACCGGCAATTCGTTCCTCGGTTTGCTTCTTTGTTCTCTTTCTTAGACAGATGCAAACAAGAGCAGCAACTATTACTAAAGGCACGACAACTGAAACCACAACGATGATGACAGTTCGAGTTGTATTCCCACCACTTTTTCCTGCATAAACCAACATATAAATCTATAATATATATATACACGTACGCTTTATTTGATTTTAAACATGAAGTGTAAGTACTTCAAAGCAGCCCCCTTCCTGAGATTTTTGGGGCAAGCTCTAAAATGCTATTGATATGAGGTCCTTCATATACTTTATTTCAAAATATCATTTGATTTTGAAAGTTTATTTTAGAACTCTTTTTATTTTTATTGGTATATTTGAAAATTATAGTGCCCAATTATGGTATATTTGAAAATAATAAAAAAACAAAAATTAAATTAAATATATATTAAACATATTTAGAGCAACTCCAATGGAGGAACTAAATGAAGTATCAAACTAAAAAACTACCACTTTGATACTCTAAAACTAAAAAAATCCTCCACTAAGAGCAACTCCAATGGAGAAATATCAAAATGGAGCGAGCATTAAACATTCATTTGATACTTGATATAATACTTTGATGCTTCTAGAAAAAAAATTCACTCCAACCACAAGTATCAAATAGATTATTAAATTTTCAATATATGAATAAATATATTTTTAAATTTCACATGTCAAATGGTGATAGGTTGAGGGAGTGGTTATATTTTTTATACCTCATTTTCCAGGAAGTATTTTTGCACCTCGGGGTGGTTGAGTATCAAAATGATTCTTACTTTAATGCCTCCATTGGAAGAGGATTTTTTTAATTTTAGAGCATCAAAGTGGTAGTTTCTTAGTTTGATACTTCATTTAGTTCCTCCATTGGAGTTGCTCTAATGGAGGCATTAAAGTAAGAATTATTTTGATACTCAACCACCCCGAGGTGCAAAAATATTCCCTGAAAAATGAGCTATCAAAAATATAACCACCCACTAACCTATCCCTATTTGACATGTGGCATTTAAAAATATAATTATTATATATTTAAAAGTTGATAATCTATTTGATACTTGTGGTTGGAGTGAATTTTTTTTCTAGAAGTATCAAAGTATTGTATGAAGTATCAAATGATCGAATCTTTAATGCTTCATTTTGATATCTCTCATTGGAGTTGCTCTAAAGAGAAATAAAATTGGGCCCTAAAATTTATAAAATGCGTCTCAAACCGGCTAACTCGTTATTTGATTGTCAAGATAAGATTAACCAATGCAAAATTAAATAATCTAATAAACAACCTAGCAAGTTATTGGAAATACCAAACTTCAAACAAAATCCAATTATTCATTTAATAATAGCTAATCTCCCAACCAAACAGGACCCTTAATATTAAGGACAAAATGCACCCACCCCCTATAATTTTCCTATTTTTGCACTTTCCCTCCCTGAAAATTCAAAAAAGGGATAGTCCCCCTTCGAAATACTATTTTGGTTGCACTTGCCCCATAAGCCAATTTTTGGAGGGAATTGTTGCAATAGAAATAATATTTTAAAGGGGCAACCTGCAAAAAAAATAGTGTTTTTAAGGGGCAACGTGCAACAAAAATGACATTTGAAAGAGAAACGTGCAACAAAAATACTCAATTCCAATTACTAATCCATCCGATTTATGTTATGGGGGCAATGTGCAACAAGGATAACATAGCATTTTGCTTGGGGACATTCATTTTTTATAAAATTGAGGGGGTAAAGTGCGAATATTAGAAATTTACAGGGGGCGATGTGCAATTTGCCCTAATATTAATCTTATCTTATGAGCAAGATCATATCGACATGTAATGTACTTTACCAAATCAGTACAGATACTTGAATTAAAATCAAATGAATTACTTTACCTGTCGTCGGAGAAGGTGTTGATGGCGGCGGCGGCGGCGGCGGAGGGGCGGCGACAGGAGGTGATACAATCTGCTGCACTTGTCGAATCCTAGTTATATTGTAATAGGGCGAAATCTCGTAACGAAGATTACAGCTAGGAGCGAGAATTCTCACTCCTCTCGAACCATCGCAGCACCCTGGAATATACTGCGCGGCGCTAATCAGACATCCGTCGCAATCGTCGGCGGAGAGATCCGGCGAGCACTGCAGCATCCCGAAAATCGTCTGAAAATCCGGGCCGGAGATATTCCCCGCTGCAACCTTCACCAGAGAGCCGCCGGACGCCGCCTGGCTCCGGAGATCGTCGATCAGCGTTCTCAGATCCTCCTTAAACTGAGCGGCGCCCGACGCGTTCATAGTGTTGCGCAGCAACACGGCCGGGCTGTCGGCCCGGATACCGAAAACGGGCTCGTCCGAGTACCGTATGGTGCAGAACTCTCTCCATAGGATGGCCTGTTTTTGGTAGGGGCAGAGACCGAGGAGCTCGACGGTGCCGTTTTGGACGCACGTGCGGCACGTGTCGAGCTGGATGTCGGTTCTGCATACGGCCGTGGCGTAGGCCCGGTCCGGTTGACCACCCGACGACGAAGCGCTGTAGAAACCGGTGTCGTTTAGGTTTGGGGAGAGTGATGAGAGGAGTGTGTTGAGGTTGTTGCTGTATGTGGTGTTGCTTGTGTAGTTGCCGTTGTTGAAGCAGTTGTAGTTCTGCGCTGTGGCGAGTGCGCAAACGCGCGTCAGGATGAGAGTGAGCCACACCCAATTTTGGGAATTCATGCCTTTTTTCCTGTTTTGCTAACTGTTTATTTATTTATTTTTTATTTAAAAAAAAATAAAAATAAAATTGGAATGAAAATGTGGAAGAAGAAAATGTGTCATTTAAGAAGGTTTTGTTGTCTGACTGGAATTATGTAGTGGTCCCTATTTCGCTACTACTTAATTCCCCATAGTAATGGGAAGGCAACTATATGCGGTTTGAATTTTTTACCGACGCACAAAGAAAATATTTGTTGCGAATGAACGAGAGGTTGAGGAATTACAACCAATAATATAGATGCAGTAACTAAACATACACTCTCGTATAATTGATTATAAACTATATAAGAGACGTAAACTACACTAGGCTAATCATGTGTGACAAACTCGATCTACCGATTGTTGGCGAGGAGACTAAAATCTAGGTCAATTGACACGGGCTTACTTACTCCAACATCTAGATCATCCATTGCAGAACTGTATTAATCATGTTTGTGTGTATTCATGAGTGTGAGTAGTCTAAATTTTGTATATTAAATAAATTGTAATTTGTATGTGAAAACTTACGAGATAATTGATGTTGTATTTGCAAACATCCGATCGTGGAATGTGAACTTCACTTCGGTCTACCCTTAATCACTGATAATCTATATAGCATGGATACATAAACGGTGATACGGGGAAACATACACGAGGAAACGGCATGTCCAAAAAATGAGAATACGAAAACTTGTGGACAACATATAAATATAAGGGTATATTAATAAATATGCTATATATATTAATAAATATGCTATATAAACATATATAAATTTTTATTTATTTCATACAAATATATTCAAATTAAATATTATTATCAACTATCAATTTGCAATTGATCATTAGATCATGTAATTAATTGGGAAAACAACAAAAGAATTTGAAATTTTAATTTCTAACTTTTTAGAAATTACAAAATGGCCCATAAGGTGTCCGGAATGTGTCCTCGAGACCTCAAGCGTCGGACACAGAACGTGTCCGAAACGCGAATATGTTAAGAAGCTGAAGTTTCTATATTACATAGTTGATAATTCTCTTTTGAGTGAAGTGTTGCTTATAACATTTTATGAATGAACTCGTTATTTCCAAAAACAAATAATAACCGTATAATAATAAATGTTGTATCATTGAATTTAAAAAAGTATGGTGTCAACAGTCGACTTCTTCGACCCTACACTCAGTGATAAATACTGGGTGGGTCTTCTGCCACTACGTGTCATTTTTTGTATTTTATAATATATTCCCCCACTAGGATTTACCTTTAAAAGTTTTAGAAAAATAAAAAGAAGACACATGGCAGCAAAAGACCCACTCAGTGAATCGAGAGAGTGAGCTTGTATTTGAAAACTTTAGTGCGCTAAGAATTAAATAAATATATAAGCTTTTAGTGGATTTCATTTACTGGGGAAAAAAAGAAAACCAAAATCATATAAATTTACAATCTTTCAAAGAAGGCAATCGTTTTGTTTTCCTTGATTGACTTTCCACACAATTAACACGAATGTGACAGGACTCAATGGGACCAGACGCGTTTAACACCATTGACTATTTCAATCAGACTTTTCAAATTAATTTCCACATTCCATTTTTACACGTCAACAAATCAAATTTCCACATTCCACTTTTCAAATCAAATTAATTTGTAATTTCAGTGATCCATATATGGATTAAACCTATCATCTAATAGAGTAAAATATTTTGTTCGACGCAAAACTCAAGCAATTTAATTTAGTAATGAATTCGAAAGAGCCTTGAGTTTACAAGAAGATTAGTGGGAGTGCCATTACGTGTCTTAGTACTTTGTGTTGATACAATCCTACTCACTGGGAATGATATAGGGATGCTCCAGTCAACTAAAGCGTGGTTGTCCACAAATTTCTCAATAAATGAATTCGGGATAAGCTTCCTACATACTAGAGAATATGTATCTATAGAGATAAATAGAAGATATCGCTTAGTTATCCCAATCTATATTATAGACATGACATAACGTATGCAGTGAAGCGTCACTTACGTATCAGTCTAACCCCAACAAAATTAGTTTGATAGCTGAAAGAATTTCTTAAATACTTGCGAAGTACTAATGATGTGTTCATAGATAGTCTATGGGGATTCCGAGTTGAAAATAAATTCGTTCGTCGACTTTGGTGTTTCAATCGGAAGTGGACGAGTCAAAAGACGTCGGGATTTATGTTCATGCTTACTAACGAGGTGCCGTATGAGTTCCAAGTGAAACATGACGACGGATTCCACCTCCAGAACTTAATATATCGCGACATTAGATGACACAAACGTAATAGTTTGGATTCGAAATTACATTCAACTATTGAGTGTATGCTTTCAAAAGGTCTCATAAAAAAATCCAAACACATATTGAATCAAATTATCTCATCAGTAAGATAATTAATAGAGGAGAACTTTAGATCGAGAGACTTGCCCAGGTAGATGTTAAGTGTATATTTTTACACTTAATCATATTTTTTAATTGGAGCTTTTAGTATATTTTATTGATAATTGGTGCTTAAAGTTTTGATTTATTGTGTTCAGGCACAAATTGAAGAATTGAATAAGTTGAGGGCTAAAACTACAATTTAGAAGAAAATGTGGAAAAAATTGGAGTAGTCAAATATCCGAGAAGGAAAGACTGCGAAAGAACTGTATTTTCCTCAATTTTTCCCACCTTATAAAAAGCCATATCAAGCACACAATTATGAGTCCTCTATTTTACGCAAATTCAAGAGCAAAGAAACAATAACGAAGACTTTGAAGATTCAAGCATAGTTTTTATCTTCCATGACTTATTTTTATTTAGCTTTCAATTTAATCATGAGTAGTTAAACTCTTTAATTTTAGGATTTTATTTTGAACCCTATGTGAGATTTATGAACTCTTTTCCATGATTTTATGCAAGTTTTAATTCTGGATTATTTCTTCTACTTGTTTTATAAAGTGCATGAAGCTGGCCACTTTTTGTGTTTTTTTGTTATTGTTAATCGGATGAATCGGAAGATCGGGTTAGTAATTAGAACTTGGGTAGAAGAGCATTTGTAGTATTAACATAGGAATATAGTTAATCTCTTAGGTAGCTATTATTGAGATTTGTGTTTCATGTTATTTTCTAGAATTAATTGCGTAGGAATACATTAATTAAATCTAGAGTATTAGAATCGTAATACACGCGGAAGCGGGTTATGATTAATTTAGCATCTTAGATTAGTAATCCGCTTTAATAAATTGCATAATTGAAGGAATTGGGGAATTAATAATCACATAGGGGGAAGAATAAAATCCTAGGCTTGTTTACTCTGACAAATCTTCGTGTTTAGTCGCTTTCTTGCTCTTGCTTCTTTAATTTGATTTAATTTAATTTCGTTTAATTTAGAATTATTAATCAACTTTCGACTGTGTGGGGTGGGCTTGATAATAATTGGTAGAATTTATTGTCTAGGATTATGTAATTAAATATTCTCTGTGGGATCGGCATTCGGACTTAATTGTCCACTATATTACTTGTTCGATACGTGCACTTGCATGTAGGTATTACCATCAACAAGTTTTTGGCGTCGTTACCGAGGATTATTTTAATTATTTATTTTATTCTAGCTCTAGATTTGAACAGTTTTCACGATTCACCCAATTTTAATTTTAATTTTCTTTTTATTTTAATTTTAGGTACTGTTTTATGCGCAGGAGACTCAATCTCGACAGAGAACCGTTTGACCCAGAAATCGAACGAACATTTCTAGCAACTAGAAGACTTCAACGCGAAAACAACATAATGGGAGATAATCAGCTACGAGATTAAGAATGGAATTTGCTCGATGCTACGGGAGGTCGAATCCATGATCAACCACCAATTCCACGACGTCCATTACTACCGCCAGAAGGCGATAATCGGGCTTTACAAGACTACATAGTCCCTACTCTTGATGAATTCAGCCCAAGCATCCAGTATCCACCCATCGAGGTGCATAATTTCGAGATCAAGCACGGCCTTTTGACGATGTGGGTTATTTAGTGGATTGGCAGGCAAGGATCCGCATCTTCACATTGTCAATTTTCTCGATACCTGTAACTCCCATTGTTAGAACGACGTTACCCAATAGGCTTTTCAATTAATTATTTTCAAACATTCCCTGCAAGGAAGAGCTCGCCGGTGGTTGATGTCCCAAACCCCTCACTCCATCTCGTCATGGTCTCAACTCCTGAAACTTTTCATGAAAGTTTACAGCTCAACAGAGAAGGATGAACGAATACGACGAGAAATTCACAAATTCGTCCAAGATCAAGGGGAAACATTATTCGAGGCTTGGGAGAGATTCAAAACCCTTTTGAGGTGATGTCCAACTCAAGGAGAGGAGCAATGGCGGCGAATGCACATCTTCTACCAAGGAATTAACGAGAATGTAAGAACTGTATTAGATGCATCAACTGGAGGTAATTTTATGAGTCAATCTATACCTGATGCATTTATTATGTTGGATCAGATTGCGCAGAACATGTTTGCAAAATCAAGCGAAAGGACGATTAGTCGAGCCAAGAAGGTTCCTAGAGTTTTGGAATAAGATGCAATTATGGGCCTTCAAGCTCAAGTGACCCAAATTGCTCAACATAATCAACTCCTTTTACAACACATCAAAGCAAACCCACCACAGGAAGTCCAAGCTGTGGATTCTCCATGCTGTGGAAATCACTACACGCTCCAATGCCACCAAGATGTGGAATAGCTCAATTACGTCAAGTGCCCCTCGCCAATTCCAAAATTAAGGGTGGAGATCACAAGGCCAATACGGAGGAAATTCACAAGGCCAGGGATTTCAAAGACCTCAAGGTCAATACCAACAACTAGCTCCACCACAACAAAGCTACCAAGGTAACAATCCACCGGCCCCAAGTTCCAACTCAAACATTGATGAGGTCTTAGCTCAATTTATAACCGCCACTCAAGCCTCAATACGAAATTTAGAAACTCAAATGGCACAAAT